ATTTTGGCGCCGGCGCCTGTGGCGCGGGCGCCAGAGGTTTCGTGCCTAGCGGATGTTCATGTTCAGGAGGTCAAACTACCCCAGGGTAAATTTTCAGCCAATTCTGCCAAGGCAGAAAAAAGTCGGTCAAAAACTGGCCTGTTTTCGGAAGATTGGGGCAGTAAAGGGTAAATAGTGCCCGTCCAATAATAAAAAGCAACTGGGCCTAACTTAGGGTGTTTTTGACGATCTGATTTCTTGAGGGTTAGCGCGCTCGAAAATTCATATTTGGACCTCAACCGTACACAATTTGCAATCGCGGGATGTGTCTTTAAGGCCGGTGGGATTCAAAATGTAGTCTGCTACACTGCGCATTTCACTGATGCGTCCCAACAGCCAGTGCTGTATAATCGCAACTCAAACATTGTCCATTTCAGGATCCAGTCGACTTCTGCTCAGCACCTCGGGATCCAGGACCATGTACGAATTTCGAGACCCGGTACGGCTACAATCCATCCACAGATACATGCGTGGAATACCAGTATGGAGGCTGTGATGGTACACTCAACAATTTCCGCTCCCTTCAAAGATGTACGGAAATCTGCTGCAAGGAGTATAGACGCAGACTTTAGATCTACTTAATGATTACCAGCGCATTTCATTGAAATCTTCCAACTGTACTGGCGGTGTTTATACCCAATTTTGGTCTTTTTTTCATTATTACACTCAATTCTACTCTACTCTCCATTCATCACTGACACTTCCTCGCATTCGCCTTAATTCCTCATGATCGTGAATGTTAATTATTGCTTAGTTATTTAAAAAATGGTCTGAGGTCTGTGTAAGCCGTGTTTGACGGGATGCACGATTCTTGAAACGTTCGAGTTAGATAGATCTCTTCATGTACGTGCACTTTAATCTTGTATTGATCAATAAATTGGAAAACTGATTGGTTCTTCAGATTTCTGAGAAACAGCAAAAACACATTTATTTAATTTCGTTGCACCTATACACAGATTCAATACAAAACAACCCGTGAATACCAGTAAATAAACAGTTGATGAGCAAAGATATACGCTGCTGAACTAGCACCTATTCAAAAGACATTTTCCTGTAAAATAATGGGCATTTCTTCAAGATATAACTGAAATCCTACTATATATAAACGGCGACGTCTGTCTGTCTGTCTGTCTGTCTGTCTGTCTGTCCGGAAATTCGGAACTACCTGAAGAGCCAGTCTCAGGGGGCGGGTCAAGGTTGGGATGGGTAGGGCATGGGCCAAGATGTACGGAACACACGTGAACTAGGCTAAGCCCCGCCCACTGTGGGCGGCGCGTGCGCATAGTTGTGAGCTTCATATTTCAAAAATTCGTAGTTCGGTTCCAAAAAAGCCCCGAGAGCGGAGAAAAGTGGCAAACGATAGGCAATCAGTTCGCGGACGAAATGACTGAAACAAACCCATTTTGGGCGGGGCGTTCTACAGATGGGCGGTGCTTGCTTCGAGATTTTCAAAAATTCCCAGTTCGGTTCCAAAAGAGCCCCGAGAGCGGAAAAAGTGGCAAACGATAGGCAATCAGTTCGCGGACGAAATGACTGAAACAAACCCATTCTGTGCAGGGCGTTCTGTAGGTAAGCGGTGCCTGCTACGAAACTTTCAAAAATTCGTAGTTGGGTTCCAAAAAAGCTCGGAGAGTGGGAGAAGTGGCAAACGATAGGCAATCAGTTGGCGGACGGAATTAATGAAGCACACCCGTGGGAGCAGAGGCGTTCGCCGAATGGGACGGTGCCCGGAGGATCGAAAACCCCGACCGCGGGATCCGGAAAAACCCGGCGAAGATGGCTACGAGAGACTAAACAGGTGGTGATGGCAGAGACCAAGGAGGGATATGCGTAGGAGTATCCGCAAATGCCTCCGGCATATCGCCCCAAAGAAAATTTTGATGGCTGTCTACTAGGGGGGTATATACTAGAAGTGAAACGGTAAAGTGCGGTAATTCTCAAAATAATATTTCTTTCGACCATTCGTCCGACTGGCCCTCCCTCACATGGAAAACTTCTCACAGGGACCCACTTCACACGCGGAAGGAGGATCGGCGGCGAAGCCGGCCGATCCGACTGGCCCTCCCTCACATGGAAAACTTCTCACAGGGACCCACTTCACACGCGGAAGGAGGATCGGCCGGCGAAGCCGGCCGATCCGACTGGCCCTCCCTCACATGGAAAACTTCTCACAGGGACCCACTTCACACGCGGAAGGAGGATCGGCCGGCGAAGCCGGCCGATCCGACTGGCCTCCCTCAATGAAAACTCACAGGGACCCACTTCACACGCGGAAGGAGGATCGGCCGGCGAAGCCGGCCGATCCGACTGGCCCTCCCTCACATGGAAAACTTCTCACAGGGACCCACTTCACACGCGGAAGGAGGATCGGCCGGCGAAGCCGGCCGATCCGACTGGCCCTC